ACCACAAATTCATTCTATCTGCAAATGGAATATTCACTAAGATGAACCCATGCTGGGCCATAAAATGGGCCCTTAAAGTTAAAAATTTTGGAATTATATAGAGTATGCTCTCTCACCACAACGGAATGGATTAGAAAATGAAATTAAATTAGAAAACTGTCAGAAAGACATCTGAAAAACCTCCAATTTTTTGGAAATTAAATAATACCCTTCAAAATAAGCAATGTATCAAAGAAATAATGTGAAAAAATCAACAATATTCTAAGTTGAATGAAAATAAAACATTAAAATTTGTCAGATAAAGTTTATAACTTTGCTTGTTGAAATAGAAAGCTCAAATCAATTGTCTAAGCTTCCACCTTAAGCTAACAAGTGCAAATTAAATGCAAAGTAAATACAAGAAAGAAAATAATAATGATAAAAACGAAAATCAATGAAGAAAGAAAATGGAAAAATAATAGGAAACAAATCATTGGAACCAAAATCTCTTCTTGGTAAATACGAATAAAATTAATAGAGTTCTAGCTGGAATGATCAAGAAAAACGGATAGAGAGATCCCAGTGAGAAGACTGCATGGACCAGAGCTGTGGGGCACGCAGATCCCAGCTAGGGCCCTGCCCTGAAAAGACCTGCACAGGTGCACAAGCAACAGCCAGAGGCCACCCAGAGTCCACTGGTGAGTGTGCACAGATCCCAGTGAGAAGCCTGTATGGACCAGAGCTGCACAGGAAAGCCCAGAGCCCAGTCAGGGTCCTGCCTACAGGCCCCAGCCAAAGGCCCACTTGGAAAAGAGCTACACAGGAAGGCAAGCAACACCCAGAGGCCCACCCAGATACCACTGATAAGTGGAAATGAGGAACAAGACAAGAGTCCACTATCACCACTCCTGTTCAATATAGTCTTGGAAACATTAGCCACAGCAATTAGACAAGAGAAAGAAATCAAAGGAATAAAGGTAGGAAATGAAGAAGTCAAATTGTCATTATTTGCAGATGACATGCTACTCTGTATAGAAGACCCCAAGAGCTCCACCAAAAGTCTTCTAGACTTAATAGCCAAATTCAGTCGAGTAGCTGGATACAAGGTAAACACTCAAAAATCAATAGCTTTCCTGTACACAAAGAACAGACTCACTGAGACAGGAACTGGAGAAACAACTCCTTTCACAACAGCATCCAAAAAAATGAAATACCTAGGAATCAACCTAATGAAAGAAATCAAAGACCTCTACTCTGACAACTATAGTGCTCCTAAAAAAGAGATTGAAGAGGATATCAGAAAATAAAAAGACATCCCTTGCTCCTGGGTAGGAAGAATGAATATAGTGAAAATGGCCATATTTCCAAAACTGCTATATAGATTCAATGCAATCCCAATTGAAATGCCAACAGCATACTTCACAGAACTTGAGAAAACAATCCAAAATTTCATTTGGAACAAGGAGAGAGCTAGAATAGCAAAAGCAATTCTAGGCAACAAAAACAAGGTAGGGGGTATACAATCCCCAACTTGAAAGTATACTACAAAGCTACTGTGATAAAAACAGCATGGTATTGGCAAAGAAATAGACCTGAGGATCAGTGGAACAGATTAGAAGGTGCAGAAACAACTCCAGACACAGCCACCGCATCTTCAACAAAGGAGCCAAACATTCTTACTGGAGGAAAGATAGCCTCTTTAATAAATGGTGCTGGAAGAATTGGGTTTCAACTTACCAAAGATTGAAACTAGACCTATATCTCTCACCATGTATGAACTAAAATCAAAATGGATTAAAGATCTAAATATTAAAACAGAAACACTAAACCACTGGAAGAGAGGTTAGGTAGAACTCTTGAAGACATTTGTGTAGGAAAAGATTTCAAAACCTCAGTTGCACGTGAACTAGCACAAAGAATCAACAAGTGGGATTTCTTCTTATTAAAAAACTTCTTCACAGCAAGAGAAACCACCAAGAGAGTGAAAAGACAACCCACAATGTGGGAAAAATTTTTTTTACTAATTGTTCCTCAGACAAATGTCTATTATTTAGAATATATAAAGAACTTAAAGGGCCAGGGATTTAGCTCAGTGGTTCTGCCGCCTGCCTTGAAAGTGCAAGGTCCTGAGTTTGATCCCTGGTACCAAAAAAAAAAGAACTTAAAAAAATCAGACCTCCCAAATTTAAAGATCCAATCCAAAAATGAGCATCTGAAATGAACAGACATTTCTCAGGCAAAGAAGTAGAAATAGCAAATAAACATATGAAAACATGTTCAACATCACTGGTCATTCGAGAGATGCAAATGAAAACAACACTGGGATTCCACTTCACTCCAGAAAAAATGGCTGTTATCATGAAATCAACCAATAATAATGCTGGTGGGGCTAAGGGGAAAGAAGAACACTGCTCCACTGCTGGTGGGAGTGTAGACTGGTGCAACCACTGTGGAAATCAATATGGAGATACCTCAAAGAGCTAGGATTAGAGGTCCCATTTGACCTAGGTATGTCCCTACTGGATATCTTCCCCAAAGAATAAAAAGAATCATACTACAGCGATATGTGTGCACCCATGATCATAGTGGCACAGTTTGTAATAGCTAAAACTTGGAAACAGCCCAATTGCCTATCAGCTGGAGACTGGATAAAGAAAACGTGGGTTTTTTAATAAAATGGAGTACTACTCAGCCATAAAGAATGAGAAATTAGAGACATTATAGCTAAATGGATGCACATTGAGGTGGTACTCTTAAGTGAAATAAATAGGACTGACTTGTGTAAATACCAAATAGTTTCTCTGATGTGAGAAACTGAAAGTGTAAATAAGGATCAAAAGGCATAATAGATTTTGTGAAATAGGAAGAAAAGGTCCAAAGGGGAAGGGAAATTAGGAGGGATTGGGGAAAGGAAAGAAGGGAATGGAATTAATATGAGAAAATGAAAAATTGGAAACAATTGTAAATTGTAAAAGTGGAAATATTGTAAATAGGGAGGGGTGGAGGGGTTGAATGGAGAGCAGGGGAATGGGGAAAAATAAGAACCAAGATAGATTATGTAAAGGTACAAATTTCCAATGATGAATGTCATCATATTGTACACCTAAAATGTACCAATAAAATTAATTTTTAAAAAAGAAAAAAGGATAGAGACATCCTCTATCATGAATGATAAAGAAGACTTAATTATAGAGCCTAGAAACAATAAGAGATTAAGAAAAATTAAATAATTTCATGTTAAAAATAGAAAACATAACAGACTGATTGGACAAATTCCTAGAAAGACACAAATTTTCAAAACTGATTCAAGAATTAGGAAACTAGATCCTGTATTAATTATATTTCTAATTAAGAAGTTTCCAACAAATAAAACTCCATGTCCAGAAGGTTCACTGGTGATTTCTATTAAGCACTTAAGGGAGAAAATAAATTGGGTGCGGTGGTACATGCCTGTAGTCCCAGCTATACATGAGGCTGAGGCGGAAGGATCACAAATTTGAGGCCAGCTTGAGCAACTTAGTCTTTGTCTCAAAATAAAATAAAAAAGGGCTGGGTAAATAGCTCAGTAGTTGGCTTGCCTACCATGCCTACTATGAATAAGACCCTGAGTTCAATTCCCAGTACTACAGAGCAAAACAGAACAAAAATACAAGGTGAGTAGTGATACCAGTCCTATATAAATTCTTTTAGAAAATTTAAGAGGAAGAAATAATTCCATATTCAGGATATAAAGTTATACCAAAACTATCATAAGAAAAGAAAAAACTATAGACCAGTATCTCATATAAATGTAGATGAAAAATCCTTAACAAAATATTAGTAAATGGAATCACAAAAATAAATTAAAAAGAATAATATCGTGACAAAGTGAGGGTTAACAAAGGAATGCCAAACTAGTTTAATACATATTTGAAAATCAATCAGTGCAACTCACCATGTTAATAGAGAAAATTGTGTGGTCCTTTCAATAGATGTTGAGAAAGAATTTGGCAAAATGCAGAACCACTTATTGATAAAAATATTAAGCACAGGAGGACGAGAATGGGCCTTCCGTGACATATAAAGGGCATCTACAGGAAGCCTACAGCTAATACCATAATGAAAGCTGATTAAAGCTGAGACTGAACCCTTTTCTCTTAAGGTCAGGAGTAAGGCAATGATTCCCAGGCTGGCCACTTGAAGTCTACATCATCCTGAAAATCTTACCATTGCAATCAAAGAACAAAGTCATCAAAGCTTATTCAAAGAAAGGAAAGAAAAAAACTTCATTCAGACGTGACATTAGTGTATGCATAAAAAAATCCCAAGGAATGTGCAAAAAAGCTACTAGAATCAATAAATTAATTTAGCCAAGTCTCAAGAAATAAAAACACAAAAATCATCTTTCTATATCATGGTGGTTTTTAAATTTCCACAAATCCTTTGATATTATCTTCTTTAAAATACAGATCTTTTAATTATTTTTTCTTGAATGTGGGTTGATCATAATACATTGGAATACTCATAATATCTGTTACATTTTTGAGGCATATAGAGTATTCAGTAATATTATTATCGCACCTATACTGTACAGGCCCTCCTGACTATAGTAGAAGAATTCTAAGCCTACACATCATCCATTCACTTAGCAAAAATGTACAAAGTGCTATGTGGCACAATGTAGGTTAAGTGCTGTGAATATTACAATGCATAGGAGAAATGGAGCACAGCCCTCAGGAAAATACTGAGTACAAGATCTATCCTGCTCCTCTTTGCTTCTGCTACAGAGCCTGGGAAAGCATCTTGCAGCCTTTGTTGATGTGAATTTAGATGCATCCATTTACCTTTGCAGAGTGTCTTCTACGTGACAATACTATTACCCTAGTTGATGGCATTCTATGAAATAAAATTATGAGAACTATATTTCTCCAAAAGGCACTCTAAAAGCCAAAATGCACATGACCACAAGACATGTCTTCATACTTCACAGTTAACTCTGAATCACCAAGCTTTTATCTTGAAAAAGTACCCAGATAGTTTACCTGGGTAACTGCTGAAAGACAGGCGGCTACTGCTGGTGTCTTTATCTTTGATGTTGAAGTCCCAGTGTTTATATATCCTGAGCATAGCTGCGTATGTATACCAGCTTGAGTGAGCAAAATAGATGTTCTCAAATCCAGGAAGAACCTGTAGCCAGAATTACAGTAAATGACACAGAGGCCTAGGGATAGCTGACTACAATATTAAATGGAGGAAGCATTACATCAATTCAGGGTTTTTGCTATCTTTTTCATTGGAAAATATGGCCAAGGGGTCCAACATTAACCTTTAATGTACACAAAATAGACTCTGTTCTTCTGCCATCCATAATAGAAGATTCTGAAAGGTGAGAGTGGCAAGTGTGTGCCGCATAAGAGGAATGATAGATGAAACACAGGTGACACCATGTGCTTCCAGTTCCCTCTATTAAAGTTTGTTCCAGGTCTTCACTTCAACCATACAGGAACCCATGAGCTGACACACCCACAGCCAGGGGCGATGAGGTGTTGCCACACCTGGGTGACACATACAAAGACTCTGCTTGCACCAGGAAAAAGAGAGATGCTACTATGAGTGTCTTACCTTAATAAGAGCAGAGCAATGTCCCATGCCCCATCTCTTAAAGAACTTCATGCTGGTGTCTTTTGCGGAAGAGAAAGAGGGAATCAGATCCAGTAGGTCTCCAACCGCATTCAGGAACTGAATCTGAAACATGGTCATGGGCTGGGAAAGGACACAGACTGCACTAAGTGACACGGGTCATTTTCTAGCTTTTCTCTTGTTAAGCTTCCAGTAAATTTTTTTCCTGTGAAGCATTTTTACTGAAACAGATGTACTGGATTTTACTGTAACTTACAAAATAATTTGTATAGCTTTTTATCATTTAGAAGAGATGCCTCAGTACATTTTGATAACCACAGATTCTGGAAGTGGCTCCTTAGAGAATAAAGCAGATTTTTCTGCTTCTGCTCCTCTGCAGCAATTTTTCAACCTTGACACTACTGATATTTTGAGCCAGATAATTCTTTTTTGGGGGCGCTGTGCACTGTGAGGTGTTTAATAGCATCCTTGGCCTCTGCTACATAGAAATCAGTACCAAACTTCTAGTTTTTTTGTTTGGTTTGGTTTTTTTCTTTTGGTACCGAAGATTGAACTCGGATCCTTGCGCTTGCGCAGCAGGCGGTGAAACCACTAAGCTAAATCCCGGCCCCTAACCTTCTAGTTTTGACAACTAAAACTATTTCCTCCAGACACTGCTGGGGAAATCACCTTGGCAAGAAAGTTCTTCAGCAAAATACTCAACTAAGATGCTTCTGATTTTGATTGTGTGCATTAGCCCTGAAGCGACTGTCAGATGATACCTGAGTGTGAACTTTGTACTAACTGGAGAGCTCTGCTCTAGTAAGATGCAATCCACCAGTGTCCTAGGGCTGGGTGTCTATAGATTGATTTTTAGTAGAGCTAGTGGGAAGACAAATACAATGACATTCTAACCAAAAAACAACAAAAAAAGCAAAAAACCCTACCCAATAACTTACTTATATAAATATTCTCTTGGTTTTCGAGTAAGTAATACATTCATTATTCAAGATTTTAAAAATTATAGTAAGGCCTTTAGTGGGTAGTCTTCTCCTCCTCTTGCTCTCCATTTGCCTGTTACTTCTCCATTTTACCATTTTTTACTGGTTTCTTTTATATATCTCTAGAACTTTTGACATGCCATATAAATTTTTTAAGACAAATATCATTGTGAAGTTTTATGTGCACAGATTTCATGGACAAGAATGTCTCTAATCTGAGTGGAACTGCTAGGTTGTAGAATACATTTATCTTTAAATATTACATGTAAGGCCTATCTTTTTCCCAACGAAGTTGTAATAATTTACTCTCTTCCGCAGGTTTCCCTATTCTGCTGTGTAATAGGATCTCTTTGAGGATCTAATATGCATTTCCTTGAAATTAAAAATATCTTCATGTTCACGGGCCACTGTACATAAAATTCCTGTTACTATTTTTGTTCATTTTTCTGAGTATTTTCTATTTTTTAAATGTATTTGATAGTATTTTGTATGCATTTTAGACCTTAAAATACCTTGTTATTTGAATATATTGGAAATATCTTCACTAGGTTTGTAGTCTTTTCAAATATGCTATATTTTGGTAAAAAATAAATTCTTCATTGTCATTAACTGAATTTATTAAACTACTTTTTTCATGCTTAGTGTTTTTGTGTTTTAAGGCATTGTTTACGTTGTCACATTCTCCAAGAGAATGATCAATATTACTAGGTTCTTATTACTTTGAGGGTCTTTTCAGAGAACAAGACAGGAAAACACGTATTATTTTAAGGAAGCTAAAAATCTTTTCCTACTTATATTTCAAGTTTGAAAACCGCAGGATTTTTACTTCATTTTTTTTTCCCGTGTTGAAAATCATTTGGCATAATCACTTATTTGCTTTATTTTTCTATATCTATCCATCCATCCAAGTTTCTCTATCAAACTTCAAAATACCAATACCTACACTATTATTAAAGTAAGATTACTGCATACAGTTTAAGAGGTTTTGTTTGTTGGGATGGTTGGTGTTGATACTGCTGTTTGTTTTTTGGGTGGTGGGTCTTGTCCCTAGGGTCTCTCCCACTAAAGATGTTAGACAAGAACTTTTTCGGTGTTGCTGGAAATAACAGCTCTTTGTGGACAGGATACCATCAACTCATTCCACAGTTAGATATATTTGTTTTCAGTTTTTAGGGATTGCTTTTCTTTTTTTTTTGGTACCAGGGGATCGAACTCGGGACCTTGTGCTTGCTAGGCAGGTGCTGGAACCACTGAGCTAAATCCCGGGCCCATGGAATGGGATTAATATGAGAAAATGGAAAAATAGGAACAAAATCTTTGTAAATAGGGAGGAATGGAGGGGTTGAAGGGAGGGCTGGGCAAGGGTGAAAAATAAGAACCAAGAGAGACTATGTAAAGGTGCAAATTTCCAATGATGAATGTCATTATATTGTATACCTAAAATGTACCAATGATTAGAATGAATAATCGATAATGCAAAATAGTAAGAAAAGGTCCAAAGGGGTAGGGGTAGTGGGAGGGGCAGGAGAAAGGAAAGAAGGGAAAGGAAAAATGATGAGAAATGGAAAAAATGGAAATAAAGGCTTTGTAAATAGGGAAGGGTGGATGGCGTGAAGGGAGGACTAGGAATGGGGAAAAAATAAGAACCAAGATGCATTATGTAAAGGTACAATTCCCAATGAGAAATGTAATTGTGTTGTATACCTACAATGTACCAATAAAAGAATTTAATAAAAAAAAAAAATCCCGGGCCCAGGGATTGCTTTTCTTATTTGCAATTAAACTGTGTTTTTAAAAATTATCAGCAGCACTTACATGATTCTAAAACCTAGAAGGCAAGATGGATTTGGAGAAATTTTGCTTTCATTCCTCTTCTCTCCACTCTCTTTTCTTCCTTCTTTCATAGTTAACCATTTAGTTTTTTGTTGTTATTGTTTCTTCTTGAAAAGATAAGCAAATCTATCTATGCTTCTTTATTTCTCTTTCTTATGTAAAAGGTAGCACCCATATACACGGTTCTTTATCTTGCTTTTGGACACTTAATAAAAAACCCTACAGATCACTCCCTGACAGTATATGGAGATCTGCCCCAGTTCTGTTTATGGCTGTATCAGTCCTTTATGTATTTGGCTGCTTTGAGTCTTCTGTTATTATAAATTGCTTGTAATGAATAGGCTTGCACGTCTGCTAATTGTATTTCTGCCATGTACCTTTGTGGTAATACTAGAAGTAGAATTGCTGGGTCAAAATATAGGTGAGTACATGATTTTAGCACAAAGCACCAAAATTCTTGTTCTTAGTATCATTTTGCCAATATTTTAGGAGAGTGCCTTTTTTATTCCCATAGCCTTGCAAACAGGGTACACTTTCACACTCTGGAATTTTTGGCAAAAGGGAGAAAATATTTATTGGTATGATTTTAATTTGTATTTCTAATCTTATGAGTAAGGCTGAGATCATAGTATTCATAATTATGTGTATCATTTTCTATGAACTTTTTGCATATATGTATATATGTGTATATAGCATTTATATTACTCACGGGAGACAAAACACCTATAATTTTGGAAGTATATCAAATAATACCTTAGAAGCCTTGATGATTCAATAGACCCTCCCCCAAATTAGTGTGTGTGTGGATAGGTGTTTATGTTAATGTTGTGGAATGTGGGAAACAAAACTTGTACACTTAGACATTTTTCCTTAAGGAGCTAATAGCCCAAAACACTAAAATCTTTATCAGGTTAGTTAAAAAGCCAATGCATTCATACCAGGCTTTTAAACCTTGTCCTGAGCACAGTATTATGAAAGATTGAAAAAAACCCACAGAAACAGTTGTTTGTGTTTTGAACTTAAATTCTATCGTCCTAGTTTGATATTCTTCTAAACTGGAATGTCATTTCAAAAACAATTTTCAGTATTCTTGCCATATAAATTCTGTGCAGCTTCCTAGAAATCTTACTATGGTGGGGCCCCTTCCCACATGGCAGGCTGGAAACATTTTACAGTGTGGTGATATCAGCCTCTGTGTACACACGTGTAGTTCTGATGTAACTCTGAAACATAAATCATACCCAACCAGGCTGTAACATGTTAGTGTGTGTCCATATAAGGGAGATAGAGACACAAAAATTGTATAAAAGTGCGCAATGATGCCATGTTTGGTACTCAGTCTTTGGATATGAATCTGCTGAGTCAAGTACAACTAAAGCTACTTCCTTGAAAAAGGCCTCGGAGTCCCCTTTCTACATGAAAATCCTGCAGTATTACCTTTATCTTTTCTACTGTAGCCCTCTTTATGGCTCCCACATAAAGCCCATCCAGTTGTGCCATAACATAGCCAGTATGTCTCCAAAACGAGTCATTCTTGCGCTCTCTGATGTTTTTCCTAGTCCACTTCTCTTGCTTCCTGGAAGAGAAATGAGGTTGGTACTAGAGGTCTCAATAGCTGCTCACCCAAACCTAAATCAAACTAGGCATTTAGAGCTTATATACTCAGGGACTTGGTCTGGTGTGACTTAAATTCTAGATCTTAGCACATTTCAGTCACTCAAAGAATTTCAGGGCAAGCCTTAAGTGAGTTTTAATTTGTCTGTAGGACTATGCATATTCTTTTATAGCTTCTTCTGGGCTCTATCTAGAACCAAAGACAAGTGACATAGTAGCCTACCTGTGATACCAAGACCTAAGAAAATCAAACACAACCTGTTCATGTGCATATCATATAAAACCATAACATTTCTGTAAGTCAATAAAGTAGTTGATTAACTTTACTTTTGTGTATAGGCATGGTAATGTCAAACAGCAGGAAGAAAAAAGCCTCTTAATGACACAATGGGGTTTGTATCCTTCTAATTCTCTCACAGATCATGTTCATAGCTTATAGTTCATTCTATTTCAGTTGTTATTAATAACTGCTTCCATGTCTCAGTCCTAGCGTGCTTAATAAAAAAGTATGATTTTCTACAGTCCTTTCATTCTCTCTTCTCTCAGCTTTCTGCACTTTATAGGGGATGATTTGATATAACTTTATATACAGAAAGCTATTTCTGATTTTCTCAGGCTATCTCCAGAGCAATCTTAGAACAATACAACACCATGCTACACCTAGGCCACTGTTTTTAACTGATGCTTGGCAGGACTGTTAGCATTTCTGAAGAAGCTGCTTAGTGTGTGATTTGGAAGGTCAAACCAAGACACCTTCTGTTCCCAAATGAATCCCCTGTCATCATCCCACAAATTTAATATTTAAAATTTTAGTCTTGAGAAAACTTTCTTAAAATGGAAATATTCTCAAAGGACTTTAAGAATTATGACTGGACTGCAGATATTAGCTGATACCAGCTAGAATTACTCAACAACCCACTAAAAAGGGAGAAAAAAGGGATCTCCCTTTAAGAGGGAGAGAAAGGGATCTCTGTGAGAAGAGGAGGTCACCATGTGGAAGGGATCCAGAACTTCATTTTATCTGCTTCACTCCAGGGTGTCTTCTTCTAGCTGTGTTAGCAACTGATAATGTGATATTCAACTTGACCATTGAAGGAGTCAAAATTAGAGGACATATCTACAACCAATTGTCACACTATGATCAAAAAATGCTATACATGCAACTCTAGGGTCCTGCTAAACAGACAGAAAAAGAAATTGGCAAAGAAATAATTACTGCTTAAAATAACAGATTCAGGGCTCTGCAGCCTTAACAATGAGAAGAGGAAAGGTTTTATACATACTCCATAAAGTCTTGCACTTGATTTACGATAGAAGGTTTCTTGATCAGCTGGGGATAGAGGTTTGTGAAGTGGTCATTCATGTGTCTGAAATGATAAATGGAAATTGGTTGGGTTTTTTTGGGAAATTTTTACACTCCTGTTTTTCTTCTTGGATTTATCTACTGCAGTAACTTATTTAACATTTTGGCTAATAAATATGTCCCTGACTGCACATCTCTACTATATTTTAAGTAAATAAAATACACACTTAAAATTAAGAAATATTTTCAACACATAGAAAAGTATAGACTATAACAAACTCCCAAGCATCTACTAGTTAACTTTATTAAGTCTTTATATTTTGCCATATCTGCCACACATAAACACATAAAACAAAATGTGCACACTTTCCTGACACTAATTCCCCTCCTTTCTCCCCAGAACTGACTTCAATTTTGAATCTGACTTACTATTCCTATGTGTATGTGTGTGTGTGTTTTACAATAACTACATATTTAACCATAAATTATTTATTTATTATTTATCATGTTTCCAAACAAAATAGGAATAAGATCATGCTGATCTATTTCTATAACTTGTTTATTTCTTTTAACATTGAAGCAGGACTTACAAAAAAAAAGGAAAAACAAGTTTCCTCAAACTAAGAAAATTCCCCTTTAGACTTCCCCCTCTCTATGGCTGTTGGTCTTTGTACTTTTACAAATAAAATTAGTAACTTTGTCCCTGTAAATAAGGTTCCACAATCTCCTGTTCTCATAAGATCCTGTTTTTATCCGACCAAGGCCACCAAGATAGGCTGCTACAAAACTGTCACAAGCTTGACTAACTGCCTTTGTTCTCTTTCTGTCCACAAGGTTGTTTCATTAGGTAGATCAACCCCTCTCAACAGCATGTATAAAACTAGAGCTTTTCCTTTGTACTGGGCTTAGCCTTTGGACACGAGTTCACTGAGTCAATGTACACCTAATATATCCTCCTCTTTCACCTGGTCTCTCAGGTCTTATGAGTTACCACAACAGCATGATTTTTAAAGAAACATGTTACTATCTGCTGCTTAAATTCTTTTCAGTTCCTGATACTATTCCATGGTATGACTATATAGCAATTCATATATGCACTCCTATGATGAACATTTGACTGGTTTTTCATTGTTTACTATCATAAACTATTGTAACTAGTTTATTCCTTACATATATAAATATATACATGAAATTGGAAAATATTTTCAGCGTGAAGAAAAGCAAAAACTATACCAAACACCCAAGTAGACACCACCTAACTTTACTAAATTATAGATATAATATAAAACTTTATATATATAATATAAATATATAATACAAAACTTTATATATAATATAAAACTTCACATAATATATACTATAAAACTTTATATTATATATACAATTACTGGGGTTAACAATTTATATATAAATATATACAAATGTATTTTCTCTAGATACTGCCAATTGTTCTCCATAATGATACAATAAGTTCCCAACTTACAAACAAGTTCTGTTTTGGGAGGATATTTGTAAATAGGATTTAATCCAACAAATGAAGTCTTATATAATATACCTGTGAAAGTCTGCAACTAGAATGGTCATAAGTTGGGGACTTACTGCAGTAATAATTTACATTTCCAGACTTCATTTTCCACAGCTTTACCAACACACGATATTGTCAGACTTCATAGTTTTCAACAATTTGATGGATTTAAATAGTTTACCTATTTAATTTCTATTTCTCATAAGAATATTGAGAATTTGGGATTCTTTATTTTAAAAGGCCAAAGATTTATACAATCTGAAAAGAAACCAGAGTATAGGGATTCTTCATTTTAAAACTTAAATGATTAAAAATTTCTTACATGTTATCCAGTAAATATTTTAAATTGATTAAAATAATCCATTCATATTTATTGTGATTTTAATATTTTGGAATTTATTTCTATAATCTTTTCTATTTTCCATTTTCTATCCCTTTCTTTGTCCCCCTTTTATGTTTTCTTTGATTAGATATTTTTTCATCCTTTTTTCTTCCACTGATTTAGAAAGTATAGAATGATCATCATTTTTAAAAAGTATGTGTTTTCTTATGAAGTCTAAATGAATTTCATAATTCTCTTTTCCCCCGGACATAAAGCATATTTTGGTAAGCACTACCAATGGACATTCCCCATCATGCTATTGTTCGAAGACTTAGTTTTACCTCTTGAATTAAAAAAATTATTTTAATTTTTACAATAAAACTTTACTAATTTATTTGTTTCTTATATTGACTGTTTCTCTTTTGTATATTGACTATTCTAAAGTTTCCCTCCTGTTACTCTTCTGAAAGTATATCCTTTAAGAGTTTAATAGAAATCTATGGGTGGTAAATGGTTTTAACTGATATATATGAACATATCCCTATTTTGCCTTGCTTGGGCAAAATTAAATGCTTATATAATCCTAGTTAGATATTTTTTCTTGGTACTTTTAAAGTATTACCTTGATATTTTCTGGCTCTGTTGTTGGTGATGAGAAGTATGTTGTCTAGCTGAGATTCCTTTGAAGTTTGTGTCTTTTTTTAAAGATTCTCCTTATCCTCAATTTTCTGTAATTTCATTCACTACTGTAGCAATTAAATAGGCTGCGCCTTCCAGTAAAGAATTTGTGATTTTTTTTTTCAGTTTTGATGAATTATCAGCTACTACCCTATCCATCATTTCTTATCTGAAATTTCCTCTAGTCCCTCTTTCTGGGATTCCTAATGGTCCTATGTCAGAGTTTCAATCTAACCACTATATCTAATAACAACTCTTTTATTATCATTACCCTTTTGGCTTTTTAGTCTTTGCATTATATAAATCCTTCAATACTAACATTTGATACAGATTTTTTTGTCTGATTGAGGCCATTCTAGAGTTTGTCTATACGACAACAGGTAGTTTTTTGTTTTTTTCTGGTACTGGGGAATCAAACTCAGGACCTTGTGCATGTGAGGCAGGCACAGCACCACTCAGCTAGATCCCCAGCCCTCTAACAGGTAGTTTTTTAAAGTAATGTCTTCTGGTTTATTCCTTTCTTTTTCATACATATTCCCTCAAATTTTTCTTTCATTTATGACTTAAAGCAGTTTATGTAAATTAAAGACATTGTTAAACTATTCTATAAAATTAGGCTAGAGTGTATTCCTGATTTGATGCTTGATTTAGTTAACTGCTTCTCTTAGCATCCAATGAGAGAGAGAGAGAGAGAGGAGGGAGGAAGGGAATATTTTGGAACTCTGGTGTGCTGACATTTTCATTTACTTATTTATACATCTTTCTCTGTCTCCTTTCACCTTTCTCTAAGTGCTTTCACTGAGTCCTGAAGTTCTGACCTGTGGAATATTGCAGATACATCTATAAATGAGTCAGCATGGGGATGATTTTTTGTGGGGTATCCCCCCTTCCTTACCGACATGCTCATGGTTTCTTATAAATCTATAGATCTAAACTCTTATAATTTAGGATGTTGCCCTGGTTTGGATGAGTAGTCCACATGGTTTTCCCAGGGCAGCAGTATTGTGAGGTACTATAAACATTTTAAGGGTGGGGAGTCCTTTGAGAGGTCCTTAGTCCATTGTAGTTGTGCCCTTAAAAGGGATTGTGTGACCCCATCTTTATTTTCTTTTCCTTCTTTCCATTCTCCCATTCTTCCTGGCTCAAGATGTGACATCACTGTAACACATGCTCCTCTAGAATATGGCACCATTATGAATCCCCCCCCCCCGAGTGGTGCTGCTTAACCTTAGACTGGAGCCTCCAGAATAAGAACCAAAATAAAGTTATCTTTATGTCATAAGTAGCCTGTATCAGGTATTTCATTATAGTAATGCAAAGCTGACTGATACAGATGCACATCAACCGACATTATTGTGGTTTCCTATTCTATAAAGTTAAAAGAAATAAGGTCACTTATGCTCCCCAACCTTGACTCAGCCACTTAGAGCACTGGGACCCTCACCCCTCAGAGGGGCCACCCCTGCCTGCCTCAGACCCAGGGCCAGTACAGCCATACTGGATCACTTTGTTTTCTGTTCCATTTTTGGTCCAAGAGATGTCAGTCGTGCAGAGGTAGACAAATCCTGAAGCAGAGGAACACTAATCTTGCCTTGGGAGTGGCTGCTGAGTTTATTTATCTAAGAGTAGAAGGGCCGGGAATTTAGCTCAGGGGTTCTGCCGCCTGCTGTGCAAGCGCAAGGACCAGAGTTTGATCCCCAGTACAAAAAAAAAAAAAAAAAAAAAATCTAAGAGTAGAGAAAACAGATGGAAAACAGAAGGGTAAGAAGTGGAGGTCTCCAAACATCTTCCACCTTCAGGCTCTGAGAGACACAAGCCACTTGCAGCCTCTTCGTTCGAGGGTCTTCTTGATCCCTACATTTTTGTGTGGTGGAGTCATAGAGGGTAACACTGAAGGTTTCAGGTTTCACATTCTGATGTGCTTGCTCCACTCCTGGGACATATGACTGAAACCAAGATTCCTGACTTCTCCATCTTTCCACGTCTCATTGAACAAAGATGGCCCCTTGTGAAGATACTGGATTTATTTTAAGCTCCTGTGCGGTGCAAAGGCAGGAAGTGCCTTCCTAAGTTGGACAGGACTTGCTCACGTTTTTCATCCATCATACTCATTCATATATTGAGACTCATGAAGACACTTGTACACCCATCTTTTCCTGGATCTCTTGGCATTGTGTCAATACCATGTGTCGTTTACTGTCTCCTATTCTTTTCTGTTTGTTTGACCACAGCACGGCTCTAGTATTTCCCATAGTGATTAACCCAGTCCTGTGTTGTCATGAGTGGGAAAACTCTGTGGCTAACCAACCTGCTTTCCAATCCTGAATCCTACTTACTAGATTTGTGACTTTCAGCTTAATTTCTCTGTGCCCAAGTTCTCACGTTACTAATATGAAGATAATAATGACGCACACCTCATAGTATTGTGGATTAAATAATCTAACATATGTAAGGCTCTTTAAGCAGTTTGACACACTGTAAATGCTACATAAATGCTGGCTGTCATCATCATCGTCATCCTCCTTTTCTTCCTCATCAT